CTGCTGGATGCAGCTGAAGCAAAGGTATGGCAATGAGAATGCAGACAGTGTGTTCAGAAAACATTCATTTTTCAATGAATCTGCTTTATTGATTAGGTTCCACTGAAAGGGGCGGGTGACGAGGAAAGTGGCATCCAAAGACACGTTGCCTGTCTGAGCCTTGGTTTCCTCATGTGTGATATAAGAAATGACCATGAAGACTCATTCAACTCCAAACTACAACTTCAAAGGCCCTTGTTTAGGTCCCAATTTATAGGTCTTTTTTTATGTCATATTTCTATACAGTTAAGAAGGCTCCTGAATTGCCATATGGATCTAAAACCTTTTTCATTATATAAAATAGGATGTATTTTAATGCTAGGGATAACGCACACATACCAAAAAGCAAATGGCTTAAACGAAAACCATTGGTTATTGCTTATGAGTCTTGTTAGAGAGGAAAAAACTTTTCCTTTAACCTCTTAAGTTTACCACTTGATATGTGCAAATTAAACCGACAAAAGAAAGAATAACAGGGGAAAGGGTTTATTTCATATGAAATGCACACGAAGGGCATCACAGAAAAGAAATGAAAACCCCCAAAAGCAATTAGGCCAGAGAGCTTATATATCACTTTCACAAAGGGTAACAAATTGTGGAGAAGTGACTAGAGAAAGGAAAAGAGGTTTGGGCTGCTAGAGACAGTGAATCATGGTAAATATATGGGGGAAACTAATGGAAGATAAAGGTTATTTAAGGCCTGCTGACTTTCTGTTTCTAGTCCTAGGAGTTGTATAGGAGTGGGAGAGGAACACCTTCACAATGGAAAATTTATGTCCTGCTTTTAGGCAGATGGGGGAGGGTAAAAACTCTCTCTGTGTTTGCTGCTTAATTGCCTTTAGCTTAAAATAATTCTTACCTCAAAGAGGCATATTTTGGGGCAGCATATTCTGATCTCATTCAGTCTACAAGTCATGTTGGTGGTTCTGCTGGTCTGGATGGGCTGTTATTCCGGGCTGCCCTCACTCATACATCTGTGATCAGCTAATGAGTTGCCTGGGGCTGGCTAGTGCAAGGTGGCCCTACTCACACCTCTGGTGGTTAGATGGCTATTGGTCATAATGTTTGGTTTAACTGAGTCACACCATCATTCAGCAGGCTAGGTGGGCTTGCTCAAATGACAGCAGCAGGGGCTCTGGAGCATGCAAGGCCTTTTGTGGCCTAGATTTGGAAATAACAAAGTTAATTCTGCTGTATTCTGCAAGAGCAAGTTACAAGGCCAACCATATTAGAGAGGAAGAGAAACAGACTCCCACCCCTAATTGAGGGTTGCTGTAAAGTGACATTGCAAGGTATAAGTACAGGGAGGAGAAGAATTTATAACTATCTTTAAACCTCTCATACTCGAGGTAAAGGGGCGTTTTCACTACTCCCAGAGCAGGACTCTTGCTTTCCCAACTCTGAACATTTAAGTTATTTCTACTGCTCAGAAATCAACTTCTTACCTATCTTGGGGTTCGAATTCCATCCCTCCTACAAAGCCCATCCCCAAAACTAATTTATCCAGGAATTTTTTCCCCATAGCTTCAGCTAAGTGTGTTTTCTCACTCTAAAGAAGTTGAAATGCTGTTACAGACTCTACAAAGTCCATGAATTCTGAACTATTTGTGACCAAAGGCATAGTTATATGCAATTGAAAACAAATCTTTTTTTCATCTTAGTATATAAAAATGACTATGATTTAGGGTGATAGCTTCTATTAAATTGAATCTGCTGTGATTTCTTTATTCACTTCTAATGTAAAAGAAAGCTGGCATTCATAGATACCTGCCTATAGCTTTGTTGCAAAATTACTATGTATGACTTTTGTAATTATCTTTACTGTTACTTTGAAGCTCAGATTTCACTCTCAGGCCCCAAAGTCCATCTTTTCACATTATCTTTGCTTTTAATGTTTAATATTTTAGAAGATTCTGAATTTACTTTTAAACTTTATGACTTAGAAAATGAAAATGGTTCCGGGTTTGAATTCGATATATGTGATTTCTGTCTCTGACACTACTATGCATTTGTTTGAAAACCAGGAGAATACTTAATTTTGTTTATTTACTTACTCCATAGCTCTTGAATTCAACATAAGTCCCAGCCTGTAAGGCACCCCAACAAGGAGGTATTAAGTGTACTGTGTGATGTAATGCTTGAGGTCAGTACTTCTAGCACATGGGAAAACAGATGGGGGTCTGAGATGTCAGTTGTATTCTTTGTTCCAATTTAACTGTGCCAGTCTGCTGTTTATCAAGGTTTTTTAAAAGTCATGCTTTTTGAGAAAGTAAATCAATTTTACTCCTTAGAGGCTAGGGGAAAAATATGTAGCTATATATATAGCTGATAGGGATATAGTCTTTTTTTCCCCGATAATTGTATTTCAAGATGATTCAAATAACTTCAGGTAGAGTGAACATTCTATTCCAGTGCTATCTCACTTTGAAATGAAGGAGCTAAGGCTCAGAGAGTTTAAATCACAACTATTTGGCAGTGACGAGATTGCTAAACATTAGAAAAAAAAGAATTCAACAATAAGCGAAAGCTCAAATAAACCACATCAAAACAACTATTTGGCAATGACGAGATTGCTAAACATTAGAAAAAAAAATTAAACAATAAGTGAAGGCCCAAATAAACTACATCAAAACCAGCAAACAAAATAAAAATACCACATACACGTTATTGGTGACTGGATTAATACTCCAATCTCATTTAATATCATTTGAGTTTTGACCAGGCAGGCCTCAGAATCTTTTCTTCTCCTTTCCATCACCATTCAACATTTTTTTTGGAAAACAGAAAAGCCCTTTACTCATCCAAATGAATTTCTAAATTATGGATTCTTAATCTTTTTGTGCCATGGACACTTTTTGTTGTCTGGTGAAAGCAACATTTTCAGAATAACATTTTTAAATGCATAAATTAAAATAAATGGGATTAAAAAGAAAATCAGCTATAATGAAATACAACTATCAAGATACAAGAAAAATAAATTTGTAGTTGAGTAACATGTGGTTATATTAAGTAACAAAAAATACAAATAACAGTGTTAGCTAATAACAAATATTAAATAACAATAATATTTAATGTCAGTTTAATGACTACCATAATTTCAAAGCGATGATTTTAACAATTTGAGAAACCTGCAGCAATTCTAATTTAACACGAAAATATCTGTGATTTCTAAAGGTATCAAAATCTCTGATATTACTAAAATTAATACATTTTACTTAGAGGCTATTACAGATTTTTCTTTTTTTTCCCCTCATCCAAGCTCATTGACCTTCTGGTAGATTTATAACTTCAGTGGCTCCCATGAGTACTCCCTCCCAGTGGATGACACCTCGCCAACGATGCTGGGCTTGCTGCCTTTGGCCAATGGGACATCAGCAAACTGAACTCCAGCAGAGTCTTTAGGCTTGCCCTCCCAGAAGACTACCTTGCCAAACAAAAAACCTGGTCTAGCTTTTTGAGGATGAAAGAGAAAGAGGCACAGGCTTCTTAGTCATCCCAACTGAGCCCAAACTCTAGCCCTTAGCTTCATTAAGTTGTTAGCCCAGGTGAAGCCACCAACCCACAGAATCGTGAGAAATAAATGGTTCTTGTTTTAAGGCACTAAATTTTGGACTTTAGGCTAGGATACGAAACTGATATGGAGCCCTGAATTTTATTCGCTGACACTTTGGACATTGGATCGAGACCCATGAGTACTTTTCAATATCAGTATTGCAAAGCTCCCACACTGTTTGGAGATCACTAACCTCTCGCCCCTCTTAAGTGGGGGTCACAGACTGGCAGCATCTACAACTCTAGACGCGTGTTGGAAAAGCAGTATCTGACTTCATCCCAGATCTGCCGAATCAGAATCTCCAGATTATTAGTAAAAGCCTTAAAGTTTGCAAAGCACTTGTAAGTATGCACATTAAAATTAGAGATGAACCAACCCTTTATCTTATAATTAACTTGCACTTTCAAAAACTTTCACTCTCTATTAGAAATATTCTCTATGTTCCATTCCAACAGGGGTGAGTTGAAGCCCTACTGGCTCCTTCTTATTCAAAAGTTCCAGGTGCGCTGTTTGGGGCTTAACGTGTCTGTGGGTCTGCGATGATATCTGTCAAATGACAATGCCACGGAAATGACAGGGGGTTTACAGATACGTGTAGACTGCTGGAAATACATTAATAAACGAATAAATGAAACCTCAACCAACAACCCCTAAAACCCTGCGCAGAGAATAACGCTTTAATGAGTAAACTAGAACTCCTCCAACTAAGTCTGATTTAAAAAAAATTGGGGTGGCTCTTCCGGGTGTGGGGCCCTCTGGTATTCCTTGTGTTGAGGCTCCCATCCGTGTAGGTGACTTACGGGGTACAGGGGTCGCCTACGGTGACCCGCGCAATTTGTCCCCGCGCAGCTCCCATATAAGGCTGGCCCCGCCCCTGCCTGCGGCGTCGAGGGCGCTGAGCCTGCTCCCTCCCCAAGCCGCCAGCCAGCTCGCCGCTACCGCGCATGCCCGGCCCGCCTCCGAGGACGGCGCCCGGGGTTTTCTTCAGCCAGATTCTCTGCGCCAGCCAGGAGAGAGAACTCAGGGTTATCAGGGCTCTGGAAGCCAAAAGAGTGCTGATTCCAGGCTACCTACGGGGCTCTAAGGAAGCTGATGATATAGTGATTCCTTGTCTGAGTGGGTTACATGTTTGCAGTTATCTCAATGCATTGACCAGCTCCATGGAGTTGTTCATGATTTGCAGTTAAGGCAAAAGCCTCAGAGACGTCCAATAATTTAGACTTGAGGATTCCCGAAGCTAGTGTTGAATTAGGGCTCAAACCCAGGAGTCCAGCCTCTACTCTTTGAGGCTTCCCAGAGAAGAAGCCCCTCCTACCTAGTGTGGCCCCTTCATTTGAACCAGGACAGCTGCCACGCCAGCTCCTGGGTGCCTTGTGGGTGTGGTACACCAACGGTAAGGGGAGGAGATGAGGGCAGAGCATCCCTTTGTGGCCCCATTAAGGACGTGGGGGCCAAAGTGGATCTTGACAGCGGAGCATTATTCAGTGGGCTTTCAGCTGCGGAGGAGCTGTCAGCTCTGGGGCAGGAAGGGTGGGGTCTTGAAGCGATGGTGGGATGGGCTGTTTGTGCTGAGCGGCCATGAATGGGGCAGCATGAGGCAGAGCTGCTGTCTTGGTTAAATATGGGCTGCAGATAATCTTGTGGCTTACAGGGCTCTTGCGTGCGTGCGTGTGTCTGTATGTGTGTACACGCATGCACGAACTGCATGAATGGCTGGATAATTGAATGAATTAATTTACATTCCCGGGAAGAGGGAAGGGGAGCTCACTAAAAGAGTCTAGGGTGGGACCTCATTTCTACCAAAGGCCCTAACCCTTAAAGAGAAGGTTAGCCGCCCCCAAACCCTTTATGATTAAAACTAAACTAACATAAGTGCAAAAAAAGTCCAATTAAGATCCGATTTCAGCCAATATAGCTATTTCCGCCTGCATTTAAAACACCTAGTACCCTTTTAATTTTCATTTCTCGGTATCTCTGAATTGAGCGGTCCAAAACTCTTGCTCTGACAGCCTTAGAGAAGGGGAGAAGGCCCTAGAGGAGTTCCCCACTAACAAGCTGTGATTATCTCTGTGCCTCAGTTTCTTGCTCTCTAAATTGGATGAGCTAACTCTTGCACTGTGGGGCAAAGCCAGGTCCTAGTTAAGGGTTGAAACACTGCTTTTAATAATTTGTCACCTAGGACTGTGGTCCTTGCTCTGGCCCTAAATTACGGCGACCTCTTCCTCATTCGCTTTCTTCTGTTTTTCAGGGGATGATGCTGGGTTCCAGCTTTCCTGAAATCACTCGGCGCTAGTGGCCCTCGATGACTTCCAGGCGGCGGTACGTTCCGGACTTCGCGACCTCAGGCTGCCGCGCCCAGGCATCCCGGCCCCGCCCCCGGGCGCCTCTTCGCTGCCGCCAAGCCCGGCGCACGGATCACGCGCTCCAGAGCCGCTCTGGGCATGCTCAGTGGCCTGGCAGGTGGGGCCGACGCGGGACGCCAGGTCGGGAGGAGAGCTGAGGGGCGGGGGCCGAGAGGGAAGTGGGCGGGAGCAGCTGGCCGAGTCAGGGGAGTTGCTGGCAGCCGCGGGAAGCTGAGCAGGTGGGATCCCCGCGCGGGCCAGGCCGGGATGAGCAATGGCATCGGTCAAGGTGGCCGTGAGGGTCCGGCCCATGAATCGCAGGTGAGTGGGGGGCGGTGCAGACGGTCCCGCGACGCACCCCCACCGGGAGGAAGTTAGTGTCCAACTCTCCTCCCAGGCAATCCTGGACTTAGGTGTTACGGGTGGTCTCTGGCCCACTGAGCCCTGACTGTGGCCTCTAGGGGCCTGGAGCACTTTATGCTTTGCTCTTCCTTTCACGCAGCCCTGGAAAGGCCCTGATGGTAAAGAGTTCACGAAGCCATGGAGAAGATTCCTGCAAACTCCCCCATTCCATAACTTAGGAGGTTCGCTTGCTGCCCTTTTAAAAAACACCGAGGGATCACCTTCATGAAGATGTAAAATCTTTCAGGGGGCCTGAGAGTGGTCATGGGGACACCAGAACTGTTAGGCAACTCCCGTCAGCTATGCCAGCGCAAAAGTTCTTTAAGTAATAACAGTGTTACTCTTTAAAATCTCTTAATAGATGATTTCGATTCCCTGAATGTGAACACTAACTTGTAATTAGTAATTTAGCAGTTTAAAATTTCAGGTTAAAGAGTGGATGGGAAAACTTTAACAAAGTTTTGACCCCTGGGCTGCCAGGAAACAAGGATACTTAACTACACATGTTTGAAATATGACGATGTTTACAGAGGTGGAGAGTTATAAACACATTTAGAATTTAATCTTCAATATTTCTACAAAGTAATGCTTTTCAGAATTTTCAACATGATCTGGGCTTCCTTTCCAATGACCTCTTTATAATCAGTTTAGAAAGATGCTTTAGAAGAGTTACTTTTAAAATTGGGTTAACTTTAAAGAAGGAAGTAGACTTAAATGAATATGTCTTTCGAGTTGGTATCACAGGTCACACAATGTCATTTGTTTTTATTGGCTCTCAGTCAAGTTGTTGGACACTTGATTTACCATGTGATCTTCTTCCTTTCGTCATATCTACTTGTATATGTCATTGTTTGATAGTTCTGAGAGCTGGTTGGGACATCAGAAGATCTTAAAATTAAGGGCATTTATGTGCCAGAACCTTCTTTGATGCATCTAAATGTGTTTCTGTTGGCAAATTGGAAATCTTATTCTGGTTTGTAACTATTGGGAATTAATACTTTTGTGATTTTCAAGTTGTTTATAAGCTTTTAGGGAAGGAGTTTGATCTTTCTGTAAGTTCTAAGAGAATATTATATATTTTTTCAGTCATACAAGGCAAACAGACGTCAAAGTCATTTAGATGATTTAAAAAGGTTTTTCTTTGTTCTGGAGATGATGATGATGTGTGTGTGTGTGTGTGTGTGTGTGTGTGTGTGTGTATAAAGAAATATATATATATATATTTTTCCTTTGGAATAATATTAGCACATGCTGGAAGATTGTATTGGATAACTTAGAAAGCATTTATTAAGTGCATACCAAATGCACAGCATTATGCTGGGATGTTGGGTGCTCTCTGGGGGACAAGGTGAATGAAATCTGCTTACTATCTTCTAGAAGCCTCCTGTCTGGTGAGTGAGGTACTACATGCTGGCAGAACTCTTGTAAAATATTGGGCTCACTGCAATATTTGGGAAAGGTGATGTAAGCACAGTGCCTTGCTAGTGTAGGCCTGGAGCCCAGGTTTATGGAGGGATGGCAGGAAACATGTCCAAAAGCCATGTGCTTTGAGGAGGTAGATTGAAGTGATGATATATGAGCTCTTAGCAGAGAACTCTGGTGGTGGCATCAGGATTGGGATAAAAGGTAAGAAAGCGGTGGTCTGGGCCAGGGTTGGAAATGGGAAGGCTGTATTGACAGGATTTGGCACCTTGTTGGATGGAAAGGAGGAGAAAAAAGAAGGAACATGGAGAGTCATTAACTGAAGTTTGGTGATCAAGGAGGTAGAAGAGTTTGGGAATGTGGCCAGTGAGGTTGGTGTGTTCTCTCTTGGATATATAGAGTTACATGAGATGCAGTTAGGGTCAAGTACAAGCACAGTGTCCAGCACAGGGTGAATGCTGCTCGCATGTTGACCCTGTTATCTTGAAGTGTGGGAAGGATATCCATCTCTTTGCTGGTCTTCGGTAGACAGTTTAACACATGGGTTTAGAGCTCAGGTGATCCTGGATTGATATTTGGAACTCTTGTATGTGGATGACAGTTTAGAAATGTTAAAGTCAGGAGAAAAGGGAACCAGGGATTGGATGCTTCTCTTCAGAATTCCAGGGAGAAATTAGGCTTGAACCTCATGGAAAACCAGCCCAGCAAATGTCATGGCAGGGAAAGGAGAAGTGTCTCCTGAGGGAGGTGTTTGTTAGTGTTAGTTGTTGCCAAGATGGTGCTCTTGATGATGATTCAAGTAAGACAAAGTCCTTGGTCTTAGAGAAAAGGACAGCGATAACCTTTCACAGCAATTTCAAGGAGAGATAGTGATCCAGAAGTTGACAGTAAAATGGAAAGATATATATAGCCAACCAAAATACTAGACCTGACTCATACAAATTATAATAGCAATAAAACCATCTTTATCAGCGATATTGGTGACTGTAAACTGAAAGTGCTGGTGAAGGAGTGTTGATAGAAGTGTAAATGGTGAAAACCTGAAACGTTCATATTGGGAAATTTGACTATAGTTGTCAAGATTAGAAATTTATAAACCCTTCGATTGGGCAATTTCATTTCTAAGAATTTATTTTATGGACTACATACAGTCCTACCTACCAAGATGTATGTGTAAGGATGTTTGTTGCATCATTATTTGTAATAAGAAAAAATCATAACTGACCTAAATGTATGAGGATGGGGGATCTGTTAAGTCATGGCTTACGCATTGGGTAGAATGCGAATGCTGTGCTGTACTTATGACAGATGTATTAATCTTAAAAGAGTTCCAAGATAGGAGATTAAGTGAGAAAAGCAAGAAGTCCACACATACTAGAGTTCTATGAATGTGTGTTAAAAAATACACACACACACACACACATACACACACGGCTATATCTGTATCGAATGATCCATAAGAAGCCTAAGAGTGCTAACTATGGAGGAGGACTGATGAAGAATCCTTCAGGTGAAGATGGAAGGCTTTTCTTTTTCTCTTTACTGCTCAAGTATTTACTTTGCTCAGGGCATAGTTTTATAATTAATAATTAAAAACTTGTTTGTGTAATTTTTAAATGTTACCTAAAAAGTCATTGACACTGGAGAAAGAATTTTTAGCCTGTTGTTTGGGAGCATCGAAGGAAGTTGTTAAAAAGTTTTTTGCCCCCAGTTTTATTTTGCCGTAATGGATATATGGCACTGTGTAAGTTTAAGGTGTACAGCTTAATGACTTGACTTACATATATTGTAAAATGAGTACTATAGTAAGGTTAGTTAGCATCTATCATTTCATATAATACCAAATAAGTAGAAAAAAATGGTTTTTTTTTTTTTTCCATGTGATGAGGGTTTACTCTTATCAACTTCAGATATAGCATACGGCAGTGTTTACTACAGACATCATGTGAACATTATATCCCCAGGATTTAATGTCTTATAACTGGAGGTTTGTACCTTTTGACCACCTTCATCCAATTCTTCCACCCTCTGCCTCTGGTAACTACAAATCTGATCTCTTTTTCTATGAGTTTGTTTTTTAAGATTCCACATATAAGTGAGACTATACAGTATTTATCTTCTGTCTGACTCATTTCACTTAGCATATGGTGCTAAAGGTCTATCTATATTGTTGCAAATGGCAGGATTTTCTTTTTTTGTACCTGAATAATATTCCTGTGTGTGTGTGTGTGTGTGTGTGTGTGTGTATGTGTGTATGAGTCACAACTTCTTTAGCCATTCATCTGTAGGTGGACATTTAGGTTGTTTCCATATCTTGGTTATTATAATGTTGCTATGAACATGGGGTGCATAAAGAAAAAATATTTTTAATGTTAATTTTTAGAGTAGAGCTTCAGGGAAACAGGAAGCAACCAACAGGAAGGAAAGGCCTGGAGTGATTGGAAAGTGAGGACAGCTGTTGCAGCCAGGCCCATAAAGGATGGGGCAAGGTGGTAAGATTCTGAGTTCCTGAGCTTGGAGCCTTGGCAGTAAACAGTCTTCATTGTGAGGAACACCTGATGCTTGATGCAGGCCAAGATGTGATGAATTTGTTTTCACTAAGTTGTAGCTTTTGAAAATGTGGTATAGTAGTAGTTTCAAATTCGAAAGAGCCATTCTGTTGTATCACATAATAGCAGCTACTTTAATGGAGAATTTGCTCTGTGCCAGTGGTACAAAATCTAATTTGATATTTGCTACAGGTTTAGCAGGTAGAGGCTATTATTGTCATGCCATTTTACAGACTGGGAAACACATTTAATTACCCAAAGTCAATTTCTTAGGACAGTTACAGCTATGCTTTTTAAAATGAGTAAAATGTTAGCAGAGACGCAGTCACTCATAACTTTGATGGGCAGAAGTTTAATATTTATGTGTTATCTGTATACCTTTTTCTTTGTGATTTACTCCATTGTTCTTATGCCTAGTCTTTTTACTGGTTTCATTTTTTTAACAATTTTATAAGATATTTTTTCCCCCACTGAAGGTAAGACAAAATAAAATTTGGTAACTAATTTGTCTATTTCCTGTTGGTTTCACGTCCTCGTTTTTTCACGGAAACACTACATGATTTTCAGGGTCATCTATCCTGTCCTACTGATAGGCCAATGTTTATGGGGTCAGGATCTGAGGGCAATACCAGTTTTGGCTATCATTTACGAGCCAGGTAAATTTGAGCAAGAGACTCATTTGTTCTGAGCTTCAGTTTTTGCATCTCTAAAATGGTGATAATAATTGTACATACCTTAAAAGTTG